TTCCTATAAAAAACAAAATTTTAGAAAATTTTGGAAAAAAAAAAAATGGTGAAACGTGTAATTGAAAAATTAATTATTTAACTTTGATTTAGATTTTAATTAATATTTCTAGAAAAACTAAATATGGGCTTGGTCTTGAATGAAACTTTTTTGTCCAATTTGAGGTTATGAAGTCACGCGAGTTTCACGCGATTCATGGTTTGACGGTACGATAGAAATGAAACTTGATTTGAATGAAGAATAGAAATGAAAAGGAAAGAGAAGAAAAGAAACATTGGCAATCCTCTTTCCTTAGCCGACCCCGTGCATACCCCTGACACCAAATAGATGTAATCTGTTTATTGGGGGTTTCAAGTAAACACGAGATAATTGAATTTGTTTTTAAAAACGTGCAGGAAAAATTATTGAATTAACTATTTTATTAAGAGAATTCGTAGTTGAAAATGAATTTTAAAAAGTCTGAACCAAACTAAGCCATGTTTGATGGTCATTATTTTGTAAAAATAATTTTTGAATAGTAAATTTTATGATACAGTGTGGTTAAAAAATATGGAAAATTTTTTAATTTAAGTGGAAAATATTTTATTCTATGAATATATGATTAATAATAAATATGTAAAAAAAATTTTCAAATAATGGCCATCAAACAGGATCTAAGACTCAATTTCATAAATTCTCTGCTCACTTTTCCATTTTATCCTTTAAAGAGAGCATTAAGGATAGATGTAGTCTCTTGGAAGGATAGGATGAAGAATAGAAAATATCCTCTAAAGCTCAATCGTCATGGTAGAAAAGAAAAACAGAGCTAAACAAGTGAGTGATTTACTGACCGAAAAGGGCGAACGATACAACAAGTGCCCTTTTGATTTCGTCTAGTCATTAATAACTCGATTCTTTTTAAATAATGTCTTCCACGTAATTCATCAATATCGATAATAAATTTTATTCTATCCAACTATGATTAAAATGGTGAGTTATTTTGAAGTCATGGACGGCCATTAGACGAAATAAAATTGCGAATGATTTGATTGATGCATGCACCCCGATTGATTCTAACTGAAATTTTCCTGCTCCTAGTCAAAGCAAAGCGATCTTGGGTGGAGAAGAATTATCAAGAAAAATTCCTTTTTTTTTTCTTGAATTTGGCCTCTTAATAATTTCCTGATTATTATCAACATGCGGAGAAAAGGAACCAAGAAAATCTCTTCTATTTTCTTGAATTGGGGCTTCATCTGAGAAGAGGAACCAAGAAAAACTCTATTAGACCAACTATTATTTGAGAATTGATTTGTCCGTTTTAATTGGGTGAGTGGAGAAGGTGATTGGGTTTTTTTTTTTTATTATTTTATTTTCATTTTTTTATATGAAAAATGTAAAATTACTCATTTGCCCTTTAAAAATTAGTCAACAATTGGTTGACCTTGAATTTTTGGTCAAATAACGGTCAAATTAACAATTTCTGTCAATTTGGACTCCGAGTGTGAGTTTTTTAAAAGTTTGGTATCATGGTTGGCACAAATGAAAGGTTTTTTATATTAGAAAAGTGACACGTAATTTTACAAAATATTTTTCATATGATTTTTCAAAAGTCCTATTTTTAGAGGTATATTTGTAAGTTGCCCTTCTTTATTCATCTTGTACCTTCCCATTGGAGTTGGTATCAGGCCAGCAATCATCCTATTGAAATGGCCCGACGAAAGAGGCCTATGATTTACCTGTTATTTTGAAATAACTTAAAATAAAAAAAAATTTGAACACAAGGAGACCATAGTCCAAGAATATAAAA